GCATACAGAATCTATGCAACAAAGGAAAAAAAAAAGACTAGTGGGTTGGAGAAGCTGAATATGATGCAATGGTGCGAGTCCCACGCTTCTCAAACAGATGACATAGTCCAAAATAACCAACAAATTATTAGCATACACAATGAGATAACTGCAAACCTCTTGGAAGTATCAAGTTGTGAGCAGTATACTTTTGATAGACAAGAATTTCTTTTCGCCCACGATCACAATCCTCAAGCCAACTGGTTGTGACCACTTGAATGACGCCTGAAGCTGCAACACTTCTTGCTTGCCTTTTTTCACTAAATACAGGAAGTACATGCAGAGATCGTAAGATTAACCTGAATATGCTTATATAGATCTACCAAGCAGAATCCAATTAGGAAAACAAGAAAAATAGAAAGACAATGCAAAAACAACACCAGGACTTACCTCTCGGATGGAGTTCCAACAACAATGTGTGTCAGTTTATCATTAAGCAGCATATACCGCGACCCCCCACCTGTGCGGACCATGTTAACTAGTCGACGCATTTCACAAGCACCAAAACCAAGTAGGAAAATTCTACACTCCGACAAGTATAGGTCATTGCCTTCGGACTCCGAGTCCTTGGCATCGCAACCATTGACATTGTTCTCTTGAGCCTCTGTAGTTGGGCCAACAATATCTCCTTTAGCAAAGGCTGAAGTATTCATAGATGAGGAATAGGCATTCTGTGAGACAGAAGCTTCTAGATCTGAGTCTCTAGTCTGCGACGCAGCAGGGACATCTGATTCTGCAGCAGCAGAAGATGTCGGTACTGCACAACTGACAACCTTTTCTTGACAATTATGGCTCTCTAAGGCTCTTGTACGCTTCATCAAGGATGATGAACTGTTGTGAACAGGATATGACTCCTCATTGAGGCACACTGCAATAACAGAATGACAACACAGTATGAGAGGCAATTTTTTAACTTAATCCAGAACCAATATGCTGAAAGTTGCTAAAAAAGAACGCAGAGGATACAGAAATCATTGGATATCACCTTTTCTAGCAATGGATTGATCAAACCATTTCCGAGTTACAGTATGAATGTGGCCCCATTTCCGGGCAACTTTATATTTGTCACCTTCAGCAGCGTAGCCAATTGTCAAGGAGACAAATTAAGTAAGTCCAAAGATCCATATTTTAGGGCTTGTGAGGCTTAAAAGAATTTCCAGGACACCTGATCTCAATCAGATAATAGTCAGAGTTGCATATGGTTTTGACTTTAGAGAACCCGGAAATGAAATATTGACAACTTCCAGCATTTAAGAAAAATGATATTCGTCAGTACGACTAAATATAATCTGAAAATCAGCATGTGACTCATCAAAATGACAATTAAAAGGATATATCAGCAATCAAATGTGTACAGCTCTTGGTCAATTCAGCAGAATACTTCCCTCCGTTTTGTGAAATGAGTTTCTCAATCTCCTTACGCTCATCTGGTGGTAAAGCACTGATTAGCAACCAACAATGAACCTCGATAGCATGAGAACAAAAAGCCTATTCTCTAACCAGCTGGAATTCTTGTAACACAAATTGTCAATCCAGAAAAAGGAGGAACTCTGAACGGTTCCTGGGGAACTACGCGGTGCTCATTCCAACACTGATGTAACCAATTTAGCGCAACAACTGGTTTCTTCTGAATATTCAGAGCCCACTGCATGATGAAAGAAACACAAAATCATCCAGCTGTCGCAATGAAATAAGCATGCACTGTTCCAACAGTCTATGAGCAAGAGACCTTATACTTGGCAGCCAAGACATTCTTCACAACAACAAAGTTGACATCTGAAGATGCTTTCCCAAGCAAAACGCCTCCCATGGCTGTGACCAACTTGCCAATCTTGACATGAAAATAGTTGAAAACAACCAGGTAACAGAATAGTCCCATCAGGGCAATTTGGAAGATGCATCCTGCCCAACAAATGTAACTTAATTTTCTGTGCCAAGATATGTTGCGCTAAGCATTTCAATTTTAATAGTCATATGCTTCGAAAATGTACAAGAGAAACTTAGTAATAGATCGACAAGAAATCTCGATTTTAAGAATGAAAACGACAGTTAGATATCTAAGACCATATAATCTTGAGAATTGCCTTATTATCCATGAGAATTGCATTTCAATTTTAATAGTCATTTGCTTCTAAAATGTACAAGAGAAATTTAGCAAATAGAATGAAAAGAAAGAACGAAGCAAGAAGAACCAAAGTACCTTCTCATCCATTTGAAAACCAGAAGCAAGAACTTTTAAACCATCCATCGCTAGGCAACAAGTGAATCCCCCTGTGGGCAACGGCCTATTCTCTTTTGCACAGGATAGTACACACTGGGGACCTGCCCAACAATAAACACAACAATTGTTTCAGAACCTCATTGGAAAAACTCAACAAAGTCAGATTATTTCGTATAATCTTTATATGCAAATCATGAACCAGAGAGTTGCGAGTAGACAGAAAAGAGAGTAATTTGTTTCCATATCTAAATACAAATTAATTCCACTATAAAGAACCAAATAGATCAATCAAAATCTCAACTTAAGCTATGGAACCCCAAAAAGAGACAGAAGAGCTCGACACGCATCAGCAAACTCCGATCACCAAGCTTAATTCTATCAGTACTGAAGTAACTCTCCGCAGTAACGTAATAACAGAGAACCCAATTGATGTTTATTCAATACCAAAATAAATTCAGAGAGATATCGACAAATTTCACCTATTAAATTACAGCCCTTTGCTCTAAGATCCTCGAATTTCTCCTGCAAAACCCAGAAGTTTCATGTGATTCGAGAAAAATGGGTGCAGAATTCCCAGAACTAGAAGCAAATTGAAGCTAAGGAGAAAGTGCCGACGTGATCAGGAGAAGCGATGACGTGAAAATCGTCGGGACCGTTGCGGGAAGGGTCGCAACAGAGGAAAATCTCGGCCCCATTAAACTTGAGAGCGTCGAGAAGTGTATCGAAAACCTCAGGAGGAACCAGATTCCGCGATATGAACACATTCGCGCCATTGAACATTTGGGTCGTCGTCATCTTCCTCCGGAAACCTACACACACGCTCTCTACTCTATCCCGCTCCAAGCTTCTGGAAGATTCGTGGAAACCCTAGAAGGCGCAGAAGAATTTTTCGGGAATCGAAGCTCGGGATAGAGGAGAGCTCAGTCGTGGAAAAAGCGTCGGGAATCGGCGGGATAGAAGAGAAGAGTTTCAAATGGGTGCAAGATCAAGAAGCGGGAATCAATTGCCATTGATCACCAGTAAGAAGCTTCATCATCACGTATATTTCAAGGGCTTATTCTTTTATGACGTCATTATTTGTCTACTAATAAGATCGCATGACATCACGTATTTCAACGGCTGATTTTCAAATTTTAATAGATCAAAACGTCTTTAATGTATATATATAATATATCTAGCTATATGTATATATGTATATGTGTATATATATATATGTATTTGTATATATTTATTAAAAAAATAAAAGGGAAAATTCGGTTAACGTCTCTAATTTGAAAACAAATTTACAAATTTAATACTTTATGGAAAATAAAAATAAATTTATGTATTTTATTAAAACATAAATTTTATAAATTCGGTGTTTTTATCATATTTTTTGCGACTTCAAGTCCTCAATGATTTTAATGTAATTTGTCCTTATTTTTTATACGTTTGAAAGTTTATTGTTTTTATAATTTTAAGTAAATTTAGATATTTTTCATTCAAGTTCTTTGAGTAAAAAGATATTTTTTAGATGTAATGCAGTAATGAATAAAAGCCAAAAAAAAAAAGGTGTGAAGGAAAAAAAAAATATCGGTATATCAGCAGGCCGACCACCGCGTTCCGTTCTTCAACGGCAACAAATTTTTTTTTTTTACATTCCCTCTTCTCTTCTTCGGATTTCTTGTGGTTCGGATTTCGTCCTCTGTCTGCCTTCTGAATCGGGTACGTTTCTTTGGTGTTTTCTTCGTTTTCCTTTTGTGATTGTCAGTTCATTTCATTTGCATTCGTCGGTTCGGATTCATAAGATTAGGGTTTCTTTTTTTTTTTTGTTCAGGATTGTCGATTCGAGGATTCTCTTGAAAATTTCCTGTCTTTTTCTTTTCACCGACGAATTTTACAACCGAAGTGAAGGCTAGAGGGTGATGGTTGTTATCGTCAATGGCGATGATTGAAGCGTCCATTGCGTTGGGCTAGGCTATGGTTGACCTTTTCGGAGTGTTTTGCGGTGGTTTAGGGTGTTTTAGGAAGTGGTTGTTTGATATATTGTTGGATTACCGATGAAACAGGAATCGGTTCTTGAGCGAATCAGTGGATAAAGTCCTGTAATTATAGCATGGAGTGATCATCAAGCAGCATTTTTTGGGCTTATTTCTCAGAGTAACCCTTTATCTGATAAGGGTTTTTGCTCTGAAGCAGTGGCATTTTGATGGATTGCAAGGAACATGGTTCTATTGCCCCAGATGGGTGTAGTTCCGACTCGGGCAATAAGAATGCTGATGACCTGGGCTCAGATCATGTAATGGATAGCGTTGGAGACGATGAGATGAAGATAGATAGTTTATGCACGGTTGCCCTTGAGATAGAGAATGCAGGAAAAAAAGAAACCAGGGTTAGTTCAAATTGTGAAAGCTCTGTCCTTGATGTTCCTAAAGCGAAAGCCAGTGGACAGTGCTCCGAGAAAGAGAGCTCTGCAGGGCATGATAGAACTTCTGTCAGTCCTTGTATTTTATTAAAACATAAATTTTATAAATTCGGTGTTTTTATCATATTTTTTGCGACTTCAAGTCCTCAATGATTTTAATGTAATTTGTCCTTATTTTTTATACGTTTGAAAGTTTATTGTTTTTATAATTTTAAGTAAATTTAGATATTTTTCATTCAAGTTCTTTGAGTAAAAAGATATTTTTTAGATGTAATGCAGTAATGAATAAAAGCCAAAAAAAAAAAGGTGTGAAGGAAAAAAAAAATATCGGTATATCAGCAGGCCGACCACCGCGTTCCGTTCTTCAACGGCAACAAATTTTTTTTTTTTACATTCCCTCTTCTCTTCTTCGGATTTCTTGTGGTTCGGATTTCGTCCTCTGTCTGCCTTCTGAATCGGGTACGTTTCTTTGGTGTTTTCTTCGTTTTCCTTTTGTGATTGTCAGTTCATTTCATTTGCATTCGTCGGTTCGGATTCATAAGATTAGGGTTTCTTTTTTTTTTTTGTTCAGGATTGTCGATTCGAGGATTCTCTTGAAAATTTCCTGTCTTTTTCTTTTCACCGACGAATTTTACAACCGAAGTGAAGGCTAGAGGGTGATGGTTGTTATCGTCAATGGCGATGATTGAAGCGTCCATTGCGTTGGGCTAGGCTATGGTTGACCTTTTCGGAGTGTTTTGCGGTGGTTTAGGGTGTTTTAGGAAGTGGTTGTTTGATATATTGTTGGATTACCGATGAAACAGGAATCGGTTCTTGAGCGAATCAGTGGATAAAGTCCTGTAATTATAGCATGGAGTGATCATCAAGCAGCATTTTTTGGGCTTATTTCTCAGAGTAACCCTTTATCTGATAAGGGTTTTTGCTCTGAAGCAGTGGCATTTTGATGGATTGCAAGGAACATGGTTCTATTGCCCCAGATGGGTGTAGTTCCGACTCGGGCAATAAGAATGCTGATGACCTGGGCTCAGATCATGTAATGGATAGCGTTGGAGACGATGAGATGAAGATAGATAGTTTATGCACGGTTGCCCTTGAGATAGAGAATGCAGGAAAAAAAGAAACCAGGGTTAGTTCAAATTGTGAAAGCTCTGTCCTTGATGTTCCTAAAGCGAAAGCCAGTGGACAGTGCTCCGAGAAAGAGAGCTCTGCAGGGCATGATAGAACTTCTGTCAGTCCTTTTGAGGCATCCCAAGTTACTTCCGGTTCAGATCCGAATCATCCAATAATGGAGGCTCGTGGAAGGTGCTTTGGGGAGATTAAGCAAATGATAGATGGGAAAAGCCTCATGTCCTTAACAGAAAGACATAGTGAATGCTCAGATGATGATGATCGAACATCTCGTAGTAAAGATGCTGACAATCAGGGCGAGGAACTTGTGCCAAAGGAACTTGAACTAACCCATAGATCGATACCAGATGTCGTTGTACCTGTAGACTGTAATAAGCAAGAAGATGGAAAGGCTAGTCAGGATACAAATTATTCCGTTGTACCTGTTGTTTTTGAGAGTGTGCAAGAAAAAGGAGATCTGAAGGCTAAAGAAGATGAAATTTCCGGTAGTTCAGTATTACCTATAGGGGGCAGCAAAACAAATAGTAAATTGGCTTCCGTAGTTGATGCACCAAATCATTGTGAGGCTTTGGATGCTGTTAAGGACAGAAACATTGTTGAAATTGGCGGTGACAGTTCTAGTTGTACCTCTGATGTAAGAGTCGAGGAAGAGAGAAATGAACTTTTGAGTGAACAAGATGCTGCACCTTCCGATGATGCATCTTACCTCCCAAGTTGTCAATTATGTTCAGATTCAATATTGGACATTGGAGGTTTGAGTTGTAGTGCCACAGAAAATGATTTGAAAGCCTCAGGTGAAAAAGGAGGCAAAATGGATGTCTCTACATGTCCTTTACTAATTTTGCCACAAATGTTCTGTGGTCAAGCTAAAGAAGATGATAGTAATGTGATTAATCCATGTGCAAATGATCTTGAGGGCAATAAAGATATGAAGACATACACTTCAGGTTTGAAGCTGCTACATGAGGCAGATCTTCATAGTAATATTCCTGGGAAGAATGATCGACGACTGGAGAACCATGTGGGGTTATTGCCCACTAGGAAAGCTCCAGATGCTTTGGAAGAGAATAATGATAGTGCTGCTGATACTGCAGCTGAGGTTTTCAGCCAGGTGCTACTTGTAGAGGAAAATGCTCGTGGCTTGGAAGCTGGTGTCCCTATCACCATGTCTTCTTTGAAGCTGAATTTTCCATCGGAATTTGAAAAAGGTACCATTGATGTTCCTATTTCTAGCAACACAGTTGAATATTTGAGAACAGTGGATGATAATGATAGACTAGGCGGTGAAATTACATCTGCATCTGGAACTTATTGTTCTGAGACTATCCTGTCTTTTCCCCGTAGAAAGGGCCGAGATAATAACCAGGGTAAAAAGGCTCAGACAAAAAGAAGTGCTCCCCGTTCAAGAAAATCCTCCAGAAAGAAACAATCAGAAAAAAATTTTGAATCGATTTTCAATTGTTCAAAGCAGAAGAGGAGCTGCTTTTCAAAACCTGCACGTTCATGTGAATGGGGATTACCAAGAAGCACTACTCAGATTTTCTTGCAGAGTAACAATCTTCCTTCCTACGAACCTCCAAATCAAGGACCACATAGCAATCGGGGAAACAGTAAACCTAGTAAAAGTTGCCGTAATGGGCATCGAGAAGAATCTATCAAAAAAAGTCAAACATCTGGTGGCTGTTGCCTTCGGTTGAAGGTCAAATTTGGAAAATCGGGTGGTATGAATCCTCTCAATGTTACAGTTTCTAAGGTCATTGATGACTCCTTGTCTAATGACAATGGCCAGGTAGGCTCTGGTTTAGGAGTTCCGGTATCAGCCAGCCGTGAAGGGATGAATCTGCAAACTGCAGAAGTTGGAGAACACTCAGAAGAGTGTGCAAAGCTCGAGAAAGATGACTTAGAGGCTCAGACTTTATGTGGGAGGCTGGCTGGTAATGCTGCAGATGATGACCTTTCCTTGGGTGTAGTTGTTGAAGAATGCAGAAAATCCACTGAAAACTGCTACATAGATGCCGGAACTTCTCCAGATTCCGAAGTTATCAATTCTGTGCCTGATGCCATCGTCAGTTCTGGACATCAGGGTGACTTGCGTCATACAGTTTTGTGCATTCCTGAGGCATGTGCCAATCCTGAAGATGCTATCAACAGAAAGGAAGACAAAAAGGAAGATTGTTCATCTTATATTGGCAGACCAAACAAATCCAAACAGCCAAAGGGCCAACGGAGGGGAGAGCGAAAGGTAAAAGATTCTCTCGATGGGGATATTCTGTATTCTCATTTGTGTGAAAAATCTTCAAGCTATACATATTTTCAGGATGGCCTCTATCCTGAACAGAACTCTCTGCCTAGAGATGATGAACTCAGAGTCATAGAAGAGAGTACAGAACCAGGAAGCTGTAAGGAGGCTTATCCCAGTTTTGACCTACAGTTAGGCGGATCACACAGTTCCAAAGATGTGCTTTATTCAGCTAAATCCAAGGGAAAATCCAAGAGCAAGGGTGTTCCTAAAAGCTCAAAAAATAATGGCTCAAAGAAGGGGAAATCCAACATTTCTGAATCTTCCAGGAGCAGGAGAAGAATTGAAGCTGGAGAGAGGGCAGAGCAACAAAAACTCATTAGTAGTGGTAGTGGAAAGGTAGAGGGTGGCGCCACTGAAGTGGGAAGTGTACAGTCACATGAAACGACAGGTATCGGGTCTTTTGGAGAGTAAGAATTGTGTCCTGTTCTCTATTTCCTGCCTCTTTTTAAAATGACAGTAAATTGCTGCTTTATGTGAACTTTTTAAATATCATTTTGATATTCGTTTTGTAGATTTCTCTGTGTTCTTTGCTAATTTTCATCTCAGAATTCTTAGTTCAATACAATACGTGAAATCATGTAATAGGCTGTCTCATCAATGTATATACTCTGAAAACCAGTGCCATTAATGGCGTCATGTCACCAGATGTTACCAATGGGGAAATGGTCTTGGGCGGTACAATTGGGGAGAATGCTTCGGCAGATAGTGCTTGGGTTCGGTGTGATGATTGCTTCAAATGGCGACGGATACCTGCTTCTCTTCTAGGAACAATTGATGAGAACTGTATATGGTATGTATCATCACCTTCTGCATATGGGAGCTGTCTGTATGAAATTCCCGAACGGATAGTTTTTATGACCTACCCTTTTCTTTGTTTTCTTTACCTTGAAATGTGATTAGACAATTATAGGTGTTGTTCATTTTGTTCTAACAGTGCATATCTTATCAACCTCTTAAGTTCTTGTACCTGTTGCATTTTGCATTCCATGAGATTTTGTAGGTAAGCCTTTAAATGAGTTCCTTTCTAGTCTCTGTCTAATTTCGATGGATATTCTAAACCCTGTTCGGGGCCCCGGTTGTTCTGGTTGGATTGCTTCATTATGTCTTATTGTTACATGTCTTGTGGGATCTTGTTTCTGTCAGCATGATGCAGTGTGTTGCATATGGTGTCCACTCGTGCTCGGGGCTAACAATTTTTGAAACTTCTGGGGTAAATGGGATCCTGTTACTCTGCTTGAATCTGCATGGATCAAGTCTTTTCCTATCGGCTTCGACTGACTCATCTGTTATCTTTCTAACAGACTGTCAAATATCAATGATTGATGAGGGTTTTATTTCTTAAAAAATGTATGACTTTCAAAGAATTTGGACTTCCTATGCGTATTTGTTTTACATATAAAACATTTTTGCTTGCTGGGGTTGTTTAATTCATTTAATATTGTTGCATTTTTGCTTTCTTAATGTTTCATATAAAACATTTTTGCTTTCTTTGTAGTCCTTTTCCAATATTTTCCTTCTTAATGTTTTGTAGGAAGGAGGTCATCATTAATACGTCTCAGCAGTTGATATGTTATTGATGTATCTAACACAGATTTATTTGATTTAAGGATCTGTATGTACAACTTGGATAAAGATTTTGCTGATTGCTCAATCCCTCAAGAGATGTCGGATGAAGAAATGGCATAACACAGGATGAAACAAATGCGTACGACAGTGATCTGACAAACAAGGAAAAAGGAAAGGGACAGAAGTGCGAAGGGTTGCCAGGTAGATGAAACTGACATTAAAATTCCACTTTGGCGCGTGTTCTGATGGTTTTATGATTGTTTCATTTGATTTCTGGTATGATGCTTTTCTTGGCCATAATTTTTTAAGGTAACCGAAAGGCATGCTTCAAGGCTATAAAAGCAAATCAGTTTCTCCGCCGTAACCGTAAAGCTCTGACAATCGATGAGGTTGGGTTCATGAGATTTTGTTTTGTTTCTGTGATAGTGAAGCATGCGCTTACCCTCGGACTCATGATATTAACCTATTAACAATTCATTGTATGAATACTCAATTATGATGTTTCCTTATTAATTTGAATACTCTCTTTGGGAGCAGATAATGGTATGTCACTGTAAACCGCCACCTGATGGCTGGTTGGGTTGCGGAGAGGAATGTCTCAATAGAATGCTTAACATTGAATGTGTTCAAGGTACCTGTCCCTGTGGGGATTTCTGCTCAAACCATCAGGTATTATGTTTTGTTTACATGTTAACATGTTATGTTTGTAGCTCATTCTATTTTCCTCAATATGTGGGATCATATGATTATGCAGTTTCAAAAGCGGAAGTATGCTAAATTTGAGAGATTCCAGTCTGGTAAGAAGGGCTATGGCCTGAGACTGCTCGAGGATGTACGCAGGGGACAGTTCCTTATTGAATATGTCGGAGAGGTATCTTAGTAAACAATCTCAATATTCAATGATCTTCACATTTGGAGGATATGATCATTTGTTGGGTGACTTTATCTTTATCCACTTTTATCCTCTTGTTAGTGTGTTTCAGTCATATCCACAACTACGATGCTTAGACCAACCAATGAAAACTGTATATGAACTGTCTGCTTTGTTAAATAGGTGCTTGATATTCTAGCATATGATTCTCGTCAAAAGGATTATGCTGCCAAGGGTGAGAAGCATTTCTATTTCATGACGCTGAATGGCAATGAGGTTTGCATCTTATTCTTTGCTCCTTCCTCATCATTGTTGATTGAAATTATCTATAATTTGTGGCCTATGTCTGGAACTCATTCTGTAGTATTGTTTCCTTTTAGATTTGTATTCGCTGACACTATGCCTTTCAGTTCTCCCCCATAGTCATCCTTTTTATGTTTTTTGCTCTCCAGGTGATAGATGCTGGTTCCAAGGGAAACTTAGGGCGCTTCATTAATCATAGTTGTGAACCAAACTGCCGTACAGAGAAGGTAAGCTATTTGTGACATCTTTTTGTGTTGTGTTTAAGGTATTATTGTTTTGTGAAGCGTCTTGCTCTGCGGTTGCATGAGGAATGCAAAATCTGAGTTTCAGGCATTATGACTAGTATTTCCTTTTCTTCTTTCTATCTTCTACTTCTTTTGTTTAGGTTTTCCATTTGCTAACTCCTTAAATATTGGTGCAGTGGATGGTGAATGGTGAAATTTGCGTTGGAATATTTTCCCTGCGAGACATTAAGAAGGTATCCTCCCCCTTTGGCATCTCCCAGTTATATGTGAACTAACTATTTTTCAAAGATAATTGGATATATATTGAAGTTATACGGGATTTCGGCACATTCGATTTTTGGGTTGTGGCTGTACAATTACAAAACTTGGGAAGGGCAAAATTAAATTGGTTTATTAATTCCCTGAATTTAAAATTGATTTAAAGGGAAA